AAACAAAAAAAACAAATGGCAGGTTTGGGAAATGATGTGATGAGGTGAGCTTTCCAGCATTTAATGTGTGGATGATCTGAGAAACCTTGTGTCTGGCAGCCTCTTCATCAAGAAGCTTCACTAGGAAGAGACAAAACTGTCCATCCATTCCCCCATAGCCTCCTCCTCAACCCAAAGGAGAGTCCAGCCTTCATGTTCTTTCTTTTTTAATTCTTTTAATGTTTGTTTATTTTTGAGAGAGAGAGAGAGAGAGAGAGCGCAGGGAAGGGGCAGAGAGAGAGGGGAGACACAGAGTCCCAAGCAGGCTCCAGGCTCTGCGCTGTCAGCACACAGCCTGACGCGGGGCTCAAACTCACAAACCGTGAGATCGTGACCTGAGCCGAAGTCCAACGCTTAACCGACTGAGCCACCCAGGCGCCCCCGGGCTTCGTATTTCTTAAGCCAGGAACCCCTCTTTGCTTGGGAAGAGTTAATAGGTTCTTGAGGGATTCTAATTAGCACAAGTACCAAGATGATGCTAGGGTTGGGGTGAAGGCTTCAAAAGAAAGCTGTCCATTCCGGAAAGACAGTAAAGGGAAAGGACTCTGCATTCTGGAAATGGTGACGGTGTGGGCCCTGTTGGATGCAACAACACTGAGGAGGGCAGTGGGCAGTGGCAAGGGCCACTGGGGAAAAGAGCCTGTGCCCTTACCCAGAGCAGTGCCTCAGAGAGTGGGGACAACCCACAGAGAGCTGAGAGCTCTGCCAATCACAGAAGCCTGCACTCTGCCCAGGAAAGCGTGCACCCTCTCCGTGCCTCCGTCCCTTCTGCGTGGTCTTAGATGCTTCGGAAAAGGGAGGGAGCCTCAAATGGCCGTTTGAGTATACGGGACTCATGCTCTACTCTGTGAAGCTACTGAGTTTCCTGCCAACTCAGAGAGGGCTGACCAAGTTGGAGATCGTCTGTTCCGTGCAATACAAGGACAATGTGACATTCCTTGTATCTCAGGGGTTGTGCAGCCAGCCATACCTGTGAGGATTATAAACTTGGAGTCATCCTCGGACTTTGTTTCCAAAACATCCCAGCACTGGAAAAGTTTCTGATTCCACTGCCCTTTAAATCCTGAACACTCAAGGGGTGCCTGCGGGGGGCTCAGTCGCTTAAGGGTCCGACGCTTGATTTCAACTCAGGTCATGATCTCACGATTCCTGCGTTCGGCGCTCACAGCACAGAGCCTGGTTGGGATTCTCTCTCTCCCCCTCTCGCTCTCCGCCCCTCCCCTGCTTACGTACGCACTCTCTCTCAAAATAAATAAGTAAACACAAAAAATATATATATCCAGAATACACACAATGTAACAGAGAGAGAGCCAAGGACAGGGATCTGTAACTCTCAAGGCCAGTTTGTAAGGGCTCCTGCCCAAAGGGGTGAGTGGGGAGGGAAATCCGTCCCAAGCCCATCTCAGAAGACGCCAAGGGCCACATCTTCCCAGGGAAAGGGGCGCCCCTGTCTTCCCACAAAGATGCTATCCATGCCAGGCGGGGAGGAGAAAGCCTCTTCACCCTACCCACTCTCACAGATGGTTTTTCCAGTTTGTACAAGGGTGCCAAGACACCACCTGGGGTACAATAGCCCAGATTTTAGGTAAGAAGGATGACTGGCTACTTTAAACCCATTTGGGAGGGGCATCGAGAAGAGGAATTATTACTGAAGATAAAATCAAATACGCTTTGGCTAATAAAAATTAAGCAAAAATGCCAAACGCTGCCAACATTCTGCTCTTTATTATAATCCGTACGAGGGCCCTGACTTTAATTCCTCTTCCGTCTGACACATCTACCTGTCTTGATCCACAACAGAACTAAAATTAGCCAAATGGAGACTGTGGAAAATGACTACATAAATCTGAATTTTGAGCCCCACACCGAGGGAACCATCTATCTTGTCAACATCACGGGCCAGGCCTCCGCAGAATCTCTCTTCTGAGGGAGAGAAAGAGCCACCCCAAGACAGACGCTGACGAAACACTCCCAAAGAAGTTCACTGGAAGCAAGAACTAAACCAGCACTTTGGGACCGCAGTGACAAGCCTGGTTAGAAACCACCGTGGCCAGGCAGGCCCAGCCTCCTCCTCCAACCCCTCCACTCTCACCGTTGATTTGGGACTTGAGGAGGTGAAAGGGCGTCCCTAGGCTACAGATCCAAAGTAAAACAGAAGAGTCACAAAGACGGTTTTCTTATTTGTTCAAATGTGAGCTCCATTTGGCTCCACACTTGGAAGAATCCCATGGAGATTGGGGGGTGGGGGTGCGGGGAGGAGAAAGCAACACCACTGGCCAGCATTTGTGGACATCGCTGCCAGGCATCAGGCAGAGTCCCGTTGCCCCGTCATTGTCCTG